CAATTAGGAAATGCAACATAAGGATTGTAGGTATTCCAGAGGGAAAAGAGAAAAAGAAAGGAGCAGAGAGCTTGTTCAAAGAAATAATAGATGAGAACTTCCCAAACCTGGGGAAGGAGCTAAAAGACATCCTCTCCATACCTCTGGCTCTGATCCCCAACTCTGCATAGAAACGATGTATGGGATATGCAGGTGCCTCCTGCCTCTAATTCCACTTCATTTCACAAAGGAGCAGGTGTTGGGATCAACCTTGGTTTTGTCCCAGTGTGTGGCTTACAGAAAAACAGTGAGCTAGCACAGATGAGCCTCATCTTACAAACTGATAGTAGCGTTGTGGTTAATAGCATAGAGTCAGAAATGTTAGGGTTTGACTCTCAGCTCCACCACTTCCTAACATGGGTCCCTAACTAAGTCCTTTAACTTCTCTGCACCATTACTACTTCTCTGGTGTATTAGTTTTCTATTGACGTGTAACACATTACCACAAACTTAGCACCTTAAAGCAACACCTGTTTATTATCTCAGTTTCTGTGAGCCAGGGGTCTGGCACAGCTTAGCTGGGTCCTCTGCTCAGGATCTTTTCTGAGGCTCAGGGTCACTGGCAGAATCCATTTCCTTGTAGCTTTAGAACCCATGGTGGCTTGCTTCTGCAAGGCCAGTAGGACTTGAGTCTCTAACTTCTAGACCCTCTTTTAAAGGGCTCGCCTAATTAGGCCAGGCCCACCCAAGATAAGGGATTAAAGGTAAATGATTAGAGACCTTCATTACATCTGCAAAATTCCTTCATCTTTGTCATAACATAACATAATCACAAGTGACATCCCATCATATTCAAAAGTCCTGCCCACACTTGGTGGGGGAGAACAGGGGTATTTATACAGGGCATGCATAATAGGGGGCAGAATCTTGAAGCCACCTTAGAATTCTGCCTACCACATTCTGTAAAATGAAGACACTAATAGGACCTATCTTGTAGGGTTGCTTTGAAGATTAAATGAGATGGCAAATGTAACAGTAAGTAGTCAGCAAGGTGCAGCTGCTATTATTATTTTAGCATTTTTGAGCATCTACTACATTGCAGGCTCCATGCTAGCAACTGGGGATTCAGGAAATAATAAAAATAGTAATGCAAACTTTGCTCTGAAAGAAATAATGGCATTTCTCTAGCACTAGTCCTGCCCCCAAACCCAGTCCAAAAGTTGGCAAAAACCAATAAAGCTTTAATCCAACTAAATAACTTTTGATCTAAAGACTCTGGATTTTCTTGGCTTGTCAAAGCCACCATCCAAAATAAAAAGTGCTGACTCCAGTCAAATACTGTAATCCACAGGGTTATTATTTCCACCCTTAAAAGCACCCTGGTTTGACTGCTAAATTGCAATCAGAGGAGCAGCTGTTCGGTGCTATTGCTTCAGCACAGAATTCAAACTCTCACCCGGTGGTTCTTCGCCTCAGCTGCGCACATTTGAATCACCCAGAGGACTTGTCTAGGGTTTCACCTGCCAAAACTCAGAAGCAATTGGCCTGGCGTGTGCCCTTGCACTGGAATTTTTAAAGCCCCCCCAGGAGGCTCCAACACATCACCAGGGGTGTCATCTAACTTCTAAGTGTTGCCATAGGCAAAGCTGGATAGATTCCCAACGGTCTGAAAGCTAAATTCTTCTTAAAGAGAAACTGCTGAAGACACGATAAGCCAAAGAGACATGAGCAACAATAAAACATTTTTCCACTTACGTTCAGCCAAGAGATGGAAATTCAACACATTTCACACCTTTTCAAGCCACTCTCCCAGGTCTACTTTTAGCAGACAGCCCTTGTCTAGATGGGGAATAGCTGAGAGAGTACTGAGAAAAGATGAAATTGCCCACATGTCCCAGAAAGTCGCTGGTGCTCAGCATGTTTTCTTCTTGCTCATTCAGTGTTCCCTCTGTCACCAACATGTACTAAGCACCTACTATATGGCAAGCTTCCTGCTGGGTGCTGGGGCTTCAGAGGTCAATAGAACCCAAACTCTGCCTTCAAGAGCTCAGAGTCTAATGCCAAGATGCAAAGATACCCTTTCTGTTCCAGAGTCATGTGTTCAGGATTGAGTGCATGGAGCCAGTTTTTAGGTTATAAATAATCATTTAAAAAGCTTTCTCAGTCTTCTATGTGTATCTGTCTCCAGGGTTAAACTACTTCCAGAAAGTAGCCTCTTTCCAACTTTCCCTCCTTCTCCCCTGGACACCATCCTCCCTCCCCCCAAAAATTATTACCCAGGATAGGAGCTTAAAAATTGCCAAAATACCATAATTATTTTACAAGGAAAAAGAGCAACAGAAAGCCAGTCTCCTCTTCCCTCACCCCTTCTAACCCCCCCCAGGTCGTTCTCCCACACCAAGGGGCATGCACGCTCCACAACCCAGAACACATCCTGAGCTGGGTGGGGGCTGGCCTCTTCAGCCTGCTGATACTCCCCGCTTCCAGCAGGACTGACTGCAAATGCAGCCAAAGCAGACACTTACTGACTGAGGAGGCTTGGGCAAAGCCCAGAGAAGCTGGATTCCTCTCTTAAGCTAACACTGAGCCAGTGGCAGCTGTTTGAGATAGAGAGCATGTGAACTCTGGTTTTGTAAAATTAAGACTGGATTTGGTTTGCCTGGGGTCTAGAAGAGAGTGCTTCCCCCAGAATACCACGTGCTCCTACAGAGACCTGCAATGCCGCCCAAGAGGCAATTCAGCTGGAAGAATACCAAAGCTCCCATTCAAACAAAATACTCCGCAAAGCCCTCACCCCCTTTCATTCAGTTTGTAAACACTTATTGAGGATCTGTGCGCAAGACATTGCACCAGGCTGTGCTAATCCACACAACCCCCACTCCCACCAATGAGAATTCTTAAATTATCAGAATCCCACTGTGGTCTCAAAAATTAAGTTCTTTGGCAGACCCCAGAAAGAATCATTCTGAGTTACTTTTTTTTATACCTCCTCTGACATCCTGGGGAAACTTCTAGTTTAAGCTTACTTCATTCTCTATTTTTAAACTCTGTTAGACGAGCAATGCTTCACCTCTGGCTACTGGAGGCATTCAGGAACCCCATGAGCAAACACCACCGAGGTCCCCCCACCTGGGTCTCCACAGCAGCAGCTCCTAGAATCTGGGGAAAAGGAAAGGAAAAGCACCAAGGTCGTGGCTGGCCCAGCAGAGGAAAACGTCCAAGAAAACCTAGAGATGAAGTCTCGCCATTATTTACCCCTTCAGTGCATATGTGTGGGGAAATAAATAACAATGTCCAACAACATTAGGAAGTTAATTACACCGAAGCGGAATTGAGTCGCAACCCTGAAAATGACTTTGATTAAGGGACACGAGGATGATTTACTCTAGGAGTTGGCTTCTTTTCTTATTTTTCCTTTTTTCATTAGAAGGGAGCCCTGTATGCCTAAGTTGGTTTAAATGTGGCCATGCATAAAGTCTAGAATACGGGCTGAATGACTTAAAGGTCCCTGGGAACTCCAGATTTTGTCATTGAATTAGGCCAGCCAGCCTGGGCTTGGTTGATTTAAGGCTTGGTCATGGGTCAGGTGTCTAGCTTGAACACAAATTTTGAAATCACTGAGAAAGCTTCAGAATGCTCATTTCTATTTTGGAAACTAGCACTTGTCTCCTTGCAACAGGCATCCACTAAAGGATTGAGGATGCCATGGAGGCATCCACTGATGCAGGGGTCAGCAAACCATGGCCCACAGGCCAAATTTGTCCTGCCACCTGTTTTTGTTTTTTTTTTTTAAAAGATTTTATTTTTTTCCTTTTTCTCCCCAAAGCCCCCAGGTACATAGTTGTATATTCTTCGTTGTGGGTCCTTCTAGTTGTGGCACGTGGGACGCTGCCTCAGCATGGTTTGATGAGCAGTGCCATGTCTGCGCCCAGGATTCGAACCAACGAAACACTGGGCTGCCTGCAGCGGAGCGCGCGAATTTAACCACTCGGCCACGGGGCCAGCCCCCCGCCACCTGTTTTTGCATGGCTTGCAAACTAAGAATGGTTTTTCCATTTTAAATAGTTGAAAAAGAAATCAAAATAATATTATTTTGTGACGTGAAAATTACATGGGGGCCAGCCCGGCGGCGTAGCAGTTAAGTTCAAGTGCTCCATTTTGGCGGCCCGGGGCTCACCGGTTGAGATCCCGCTCGTGGACGAATGTGCCACTTATCAAGCCATGCTGTGGCAGGCTTCCCACATATAAAGTAGAGGAAGATGGGCACGGATGTTAGCTCAGGGCCAGTCTTCCTCAGTAAAAAAGAGGAGGATTGGAGGCAGATGTTAGCTCAGGGTTAATCTTCCCAAAAAAAAAAGAAAAGAAAATTATATGACAGTCAAACTTTAGTGTCCATAAATAAAATTTTATTGGAACACAGTCACACCTACTCATTTACATGTCATCTATGGCTACTTCTGTGCTACAACAACCATGTTGTATAATTGTGAGAGATCTCATGGCCCACAAAGACTAACATGTTTATTATCTGTCCCTTTACAGAGAAAGTCTGCTAACCTCTGCAGTAAAGTAAAAGAATAGCCCTGCACAAATGCAGAAAAATGAGAGGGTCACTTTTAACTCATACTTTAATTAACCTAATTAAAGCACCATGTTGGAGCCCCTAATGATTTTTCTCTACTCAGTGAAACCCCAGAGTGAGAATCAACTCAACTCATGTGGCATTAGCAAAACAACTTACCAATAATGCATCTGGCAAAGGGAATTGCCCACCATGCTTATCACATTCCAGAAAAGCAAGTCAGAATATCACAGAGATTCAATTGCTCTCCTAACAAGAGCTTTCATTCTTGGCTCTGGGTTAAGGGTCTGCTTCCTTCTCAGTTGCACAAGGCTCTTCTTTGTTATGCTGTGGGCGGGGTCAAATACAAAGAAATTAACCCTGGACTAGCTGGGGAAAAAGCCAGCACTGTGCATGGGCCCTACTGTGTGGCGTCTTTCTCCTCGCCTCCTTGGAACAGATTGGAAGCTGCCGATGGCCCTGGGACCTGTTTATCCACCATCAGTCTCAAGTCTGAGCACCACCAAAGCTGTGGGACAAAGCTGGGAATTTTCTCCTCCGACAGCAAAGAGCTTCCGCATACATGATGTGAGTCTCCCAGATATTCCTTTTCTCCTTTATCCTTTGCAGACTGAGAAGTGAGAATGTGCCTTATACAGGGGTAAGCTGAGCATACAAGGGGCTGTGACTGACCAAGACCAAAAGAGTAGGAGTAAGTGGTTTCTATTCACCTGCATCCGCATCCCAGCCTCATCACCTCCTGGCACCATGGGAGACCGGTGCAAGGAGAGCAATGAAGCCCTGAACACAGAACGTAATGCACACCGTAAACCTCATCAGGGACCCCTAAAAAGAAAAAAGAAGAAATCCTGAAAATCAGGCAGTTATGTACTGGAGGGTCTCTTCCACGCCAGGCCACCTCTGTTCCGCCTCCTTGACCTGATTCCTGCCACCATTCCACCGTGTGAGATGTTGTGAGTCTTCGTCCCCTGATATCTATCCCTTTGGTTAACAGGTTCGTTTTGCTTTGTGTGAAAGAGACATTTTTGAAAAGTTTGGTGGTAATCTAACCTTTTCTCCCTATTGTCTTAAAATCCAGAAATGGCCCTCTTCAAAACTTAATTGCTCACTCATGTGACAAACTTCTGTTGAGCACCTACTAAATGACATGTAATCTATGCAGAGGAATAATCCACGTAGGTGGATAAAACAAGCCCTGTTCTCAAGGACCTTAGGGTCTAGGTGGGCCATGATCAAGTAGAGAGACACGTGCAGTAAGTCAAGTTGGGGACACAGACCCCTGGGGTAAACAATATGGAAGCCCAGAGGAGGAGGTGCCAACTCTGACTTGAGGGGAGAAAGGCCTCTGGTGGAGGTGACACTTCACTTCTGGTGGAGCCAAAATCAGGATCCTGTAAGATGAATAGGAGTAAGGAGGCGAAGGCAGGAGAGAGATGGAGGGAGAAGTGATGCAGGCAGAAAAGGAGGTGCATGCAAACTTCAGCTCCTGTATTAAAAATGCAATGGTGTTGCTGATGATGGTGATGATGACTCTCCTAAAGAAAAACAACATGACAAGTCAGGGGAAGGAGCAGACCTAGAAAGGGCCAGGAATGGAGGCCTCTCTCACCTTTCACTGCAGATACAGCTCTGCTCTCGGTCAGCTCTGGGCCAGTCCAGAGTGATGGGGGCGTGGATCTTGCCCCATCTCAGGTCCATTGGCATCAAGCTGTCTCTCTTCAAGGTGGACTCTGGAAACTGTCTTCCTTGGAACTGAGTCTCCGCCCTGAAGCTACAAATGTGAATTTAAACTTGATGCAAGACAAGATGACAGAGACCTCGGGGACATTCTTTCACTTTGCTGGGTCTCAGTTTCTCTATCTGAGAAGTGGGATATTTGATCTCTAAAATCCCTAGGGGCCTCTGATTTTCATCAGCTCCTCCATCTCCTGTCTGCCTCCTGAGCCATCACAGTGTCGGTCTGGTACACTTACGGTCAATGCTGGGAGAAATAAAACAATACATGTCTTTGTTTCCTAGTGTGTGGGAGGCAGGAAGTGGCCCAACCCCCTAATCGGGATGAGGTTCCTGTGGATTGTCCAACCGCCCACTCCTCAGCACATCCCCACCTCCCAGTTGTCTCAGCCAGAAACCCACGGGCCCCCTCGGCCATCAGCAGCCAGAATCCATACATCACCACCATGCTGCCAACCATATCCCTGCCTCTGTGGGGTGAAAAGAATCAAGATGTGTCTAGCGACAGTTGCTGAGCCTCCCCTGTACACAAGGCAGGGATGGGCCAAGCATGCCTGTGGTGGCCCCCACGGTCAAGAATCTAGGCTGGACATCCCTCTCCCTCTGGCCACACGTGGGCAGAGCAAGAAGAGGTGCCAGCTCTTATGGAGAAACTGATGTACAGGCTGAATTTGGGACTTGGTTCCCAGTCTAAAAGGCTAGGCCAGAAGAGGGAAAGTAGGTGAAAGTGAGATGGTCTTGAGCTGGGAAAACCAGTTGAGAGCAAGAGTCAAAGCAGTTGAAAGGTAGGGCCTGGTGCTGCCTGAGCTGTGGGAACCCAGCAGGAGCTGCCTTCAGCAGAGAGTTCGCAGATCTGTGTACGAGCAGGGATGGCACCATGAAGGGAGACTCTGGCTTGGGAAATCCACTGGGCCCCTGTGTCTGTGTGTCTCCTAGTGGAATGTAAATGGGGCTCCTTTGCTCCTCAGTTTCTAACATCAGTGAGATTAGAGCTGCAATAGAACCAATAGAACCCTCCATCACACATCAGATCCTTCCTCCTGCCTCCAGGAAGGATGGCCGTCAACTCATGGCATTCTTGACATGCCAGTTTCACATAAATCACGCCATTTCAAGGCTGGAATGAGACTTCCATCAATAATCCACCATAGAAGTGAGCGTTGAGTCAATGTCTTGCAGGGAGTGGCACAGGCTTAACTAGAACTCAGTGCCCTGACCCTCAATCTACTGCTTTGCCAGGCTCCCAGCAGCAAATGGAGGACAGGGTCCTTTTATCTGCCTCTCAAGGCCACAGAAAATTAAGAAAGGTAAACGGAAGTCCAAGTAACGAATGAGAGGCATAACAAGAGCGGCCTGTTGTGAGAAGGACGCCTTGTCTTGGTATGACCCCTGGCACTTGGTAACCACATGTTCTCGGGGCTCCTCACTGCAGGAGCACGTGGCCTGTCTGCCCCAGCAGGGCCCTTTCCGGCACTTCATGGACATGAAGGCGGAGAAGAGACTGGCTGGCTGGAAGGAGCGCCGCAGTCGCTACGGAGACATCAACGTGCACAAGCGCTATCAGTTTGGGAAGATCTTCTCCCCTTTCCAGGCCCTGGCCACCACGGTGAGCAAGCTTTTCTTTTGTAAAGGATTCCAAAGTCCTTTAGTGAGATGAGTGACAAACTCCAGTTCTTTCTCCTTTAGGGGAATGGATTAGTCAGTTCTGGCCACAAAAATGCTGCGTAACAAACCACTCTAAAACTCAGTGGCTCACAATCACAGGCATCAATGTTTCTCCATCACCAGTCTGCAGTGAAATAGACTCACCCCACTTTTATTCACTGCAAGCTCACAGTAGGAGGGAGTAAAGCACTGAGAACAAAAACCCATCTACCATAGAGACTAAATCTAGCCTACCTGTAGGGTGGTGCCCTGAGGTTTAGGGGTTGATATAAAGGCAGATGGGTGCAGCTGAGCTGTTCAGAGACAAGACCAGTTCAAGGGGAGGAAGAGATCTTGGGAAAGGGGAGCTTTTGGTGATAAAGGAAGGTGGCTCTGGTTCCCATCCCTCTATCTCACCTGTTACCTTTTGGATCCAAGTTAATTGAAGTGGGACAGTTTCAAAACACACTTCCTTGAAATGATTACTGTTATGTCTTTGTGATACTTTCTAGCTATATGTTCTTGTGGTTCTAAAATTTGGAGTACATTAGAATCACTTAAGAAACCTGCTTAGGGGCTCAGCCAGTGGTGTAGTGGTTAAGTTCACACACCCCCAATTCAGTGGCCCAGGGTTCCTGGGTTTAGATCCACAGCACAGACCTACACACCACTCATCAAGCCATGTTGTGGTGGCATCCCACAAACAAAATAGAGGAAGACTGGTACAGATGTTAGCTCAGTGACAATCTTCCTCAAGTGAAAAGAGGAAGATTGGCAACAGATGTTAACTCAAGGTCAATCTTCCTCACACACATACAAAAAAGAAGCCTGCTTAAAATGTAGATCCCCAGGCTGGTAGTAATTCCAATTCAGAGGATCTTGGAATTTCCTTTTTTAACAAGTTCTCTATTTACACCTTTATGCATCATTACTCAGTCAGGGCTTCTCAACCTTGTTCACTTCACCAGCGCCCCTAAGTCTGAAGAGAGTCAGTATGTGTGGACACCTGTAACCAATTCACAGCTCAACAGTATGCACTAGAACCCAGGTCTGGGACTTTTGCTCAGCAGCAGTTCTCATCCTTGAACTTCAGAATCACCTGGGTAATTCGCCATGCTAATGCACAGGTCTCACTCCAGACCAGTTAAATCAGAAGCTCTGGGAGTGGGTCCCAGGCACTAGCATGTTTTAAAGGTCTACCAGCTGGGTAACCAACTCATCCCAGTTTTCCCAGGACTTACTTGCACAGTTTTCCCAGGACTTTCCATCTTTTAGCACTAGGAGTCCTGAGTCCCAGGAAACTCCTCACTCCTGGTTTTAAAACTCAAAGTCACGAGTCCCTGGAACCTGGGAAAACAAGATGCTTGGTCATTGGTCACCCTATCCACACATGATTTCAATGTGTAGCCAAGTTTGAGATTACTATTACTGTCTGAGCTTTCTAGAAACCAGCCCCAATTCCTCATATTACAGTAGCTGCTACCCATCTATCCATTCACTGGCCAACATTCCTTAAGCATGTGCACGTACTCAAAGCTAAGCACCCTGGAGGACCCAGGATCGGAAATCTCAACGCTACCATCAAGGAGCTTCTGATCTGCCAGGAAGAGTGAGCCATGAGCCAAATCATGAACACAAACACACTACAAACACAAATACAATGAAACATTCGTAAGACTAGCTCCATAAATGGATAGATCCAGAAGGAGAGGAGTTATCCAAATTTGAGCTGCTTTCTGCTAAATCCAACCCCACAAAGTCTTACGGAAGAACCAAGTCTCCAGACAGCGACATCCTCTTGACTCACAGTGCCACTTGGAAAAAGCAGATCTCCCATGTATTGAGAACAACAGTACCCAAGTATTGAGTTCTTACTATGGACCAGGTATAGTGCTAATGACTTCACGAGTCCTTGGTCCTCACGGCCTCCACCATATTAACATGATCCTCAATTCATAGATGAGGAAACAAAAGCTGAGACTTGTTAAGTCACTTGACCACGATTACCATTAGCCAGAGGTAGAGCCAGGATATAAACCGGCTATGCTGGAGCGGGTGTTCCCAACCCCCATACTCTATTTCATTGCCATTATTCTCTGCCTCATAGGAGATGCAAAGACTGGTGCTTCCCCAAGATCTGTCCATGAATCCACACATGCAGAAAATGGGCATTTCATGCACTGCCAAAGGGAATCTCCAGGATTTATCCTTGTCTTCCACAGAGCTGGGCTTGGGAAAGGATGACGACAACCATGAGAAAGAGAAACCAGCGAGCCACATTAAAAGACCTTTATTCCCCCCAATAGTTAAAGTAACAAAATCTAATGACATGAAATAATAAAAGTTGCAAAATTGCATTCTGGCCTCTTGCTGGCCTAATGCAAGTCTTTGCATTAAAACAGTTAGAACTCAGGGACTCAGGAATCCTGAGATATTCTCAAACCTGACTTAATATTTAATAACTTGTGGAATTGCACCAACATGCCTTTGTGTGAACATTTTGGGGAGGGTGAAACAATCAGAAGCTGCAATTCCCAACTAGAACCAAATCCTTAAAAAGTACACTTTTCTCAGAAGTCTGAAGATGGAGGGAGGGATGATTACAGCTCAGTGAATCAAGGGCCTCACTCTTTCCATCCTTATGGTCTACCATCACCAGAGTGTTGGATGGGAACCTCGGCATTAGCTCCTTATGGTCACAAAATGGTTGCTACTGCACCAAACACCATATCCTCACATGAGCACATCAAATACTAGAAGGCTGAAGTTTCTCCTCATGCTATACACACACACATACATACAGAAGGAGAACCTCTCCCAGGAACCACACAGCAGCTTTCCCAGCAATTCTTCTTGGCCAGGATGGTGTGGCTTGCCCATGCCATAACCACAGGGGAAGCTGGGAAGGTAAGGATAGGGTATTTACTGGGAGGTAAGTCCTACCTTAGGAAAGGAAAATAGGAGAATAGCAGATGGGGAAGCAATTAATGTCTGCCACAGTGGGAGACTCCCTGGTTTGCAGGTCAGACCATTACAGTGAGAATTTATATTTACACTGAGTGAAAATCTGTCTTATAATTTCTGAGCATCAATCCTAAGGTTGTTCCTCTAAGAAGCCTCCTCCACCTTAAATAGCTTTTATTTTCCTTTGGTTTTAAAAGTAATATATGCTTATCATAAAGAATACTCAAAAGTACAAAAAAGAAAATAACAATTACCCAAATCACACCATTTAGAGACAACTGGTGTTTGCATCTGGAAACTTTTAGATTGCTTTTCAATCTCTTGCTCTTGTTGATAATGCTGAGGTTGTCTTTGGGCCTTGGTCTGTTTTCCATAGTTTTGATTGGGTTGTTTCTTGCTACCCTTGCCCAGCATCTGTCAGCAGGTCACCTGGTCCTCTTCCAGGTCCCCTCCCATGTAGCTGTGGTACCAAAGCCATGACATCTCTTTGCCTTACAGCACTGTCCTCAGGCAGGTGGTCTATCCTTTCCTTGCTTCAAACTTTTGAACATACTGAACAACCCCGCAAAACAAAAACAAAACCTATTTCTTCTTTATTTTTAATCCTTAATCCTTTTCACAGATTCATGGAGGGCTTAATTTTCTTTTAACCTTGTCATGTTTATTTCTGATCTATATGATGTGCGGGCGACACCACGGTTCCCCTCCTTTCTGGCACATGTCCTCTTTCAGTCTGGAGTAAACAGCTCCCTTTGCAGCTCTGTTGGTTAAGTCAATTGCCTGCTTGCTTTTCATCTTACTGACATCATTTACAATCACACAGGCAGAATTTTATATTATAGTGTTTCCAATTTCTCTTAAGCCAGGGATCAATCCAGAAACTATGGCTCTCAAACCAAATCTGGCCCTCATCCTGTTTTTGTAAATAAAGTTTTATTGGAACACAGACACACCATTTGTTTTCACATTGTCTACGGCTGCTTTTGTGCTACAACAGAAGAGATGACTAGTTGCAACAAAGACTCTATGGCCCGCAAAGCAGATAATATTTACTATCTGGCCCTTCACACAAAAAGCTTGCTGCTCTGCCTTCAGCCAAATTCCCCTTTACAATTTTTGACTAAGGGATTCTACTTCATTTATCTCTGCTTTTAAAAATATCCTTAAAGGCTAGAGTCTATGACTATGTCCATCTACCAGCAAAGAAAGTCAGGAACTTAACCAGTTCCCTTCCTAGAAGGACCTACAGTAGATGGCTACCTGCCCACAGGCTAATTTGCCATCTGTAATAAGAAACCGTCCTGCATATCGTGTGCATGACCTGGCAGTGTGTGTATAAGTTTCTGTCTTTCTCTCCTTTTATTCTAACCGTGAGCCACACCTTCCCACCTGCTTCTCCTTTCAGGGGGAGGATTCCACACAGGAGGGCAGGTTCTGTATGAGTGCCAGTGAGGGTTGACAATGGTGCTACACCACCTGGGTGTGTTTGCTTTCAAAAACGGTGGAGCGTCCCACCGAGATCCAAGAGGAGATAAAGCTCTGAACAATTACAATGGAAGGCGATGAAAGCCGGACAAGATTTCCGACACTTAGACCCCCGTACCTAAGCATTAAGAGAAAGAACTATTAGTGTAATTCACAATTGACAATAAATATGATTTACATACATCTTTGCAGGACTCCATTAAATACATAAAGCAAGATCTATGCAGACAAAGCCGTTCTTCTACTATAGGACTTGAGCAAGGTACGACTCACAGGCGAGAAGCAATAACAATTGCATCAGCCAGCATATCCTGAGTGATTACTTTGTTCCAGACACAGAGTTAAAAGCTCTTGTGGATTTACCTCATTCAATTCATGCTATTGTTCCACTATAATAATCCACTATTATTAAGGACGAGGACACGGAAGCTTCAAGAGCTACTCCCTCTCTCATGCAGGCATTCGACGGGGTGCCCTCTAGAGCCCAGACCTCCTCTCTCAGCTTGCCGGGGG